ATATTTTCTACAATATACATGATTCATACAAGTTCTATTACATGCATTTACATAATTTACATGTCAAAATGGCATTTAACCAAAGTTTTTACAAAATTTGTTTCCAAAAGCCACAAATCGGCTTCTCTTCATCTTTGAGGCTTCGAATGTGAGTCCTCTACCGATACGAACCCCGCACTTGAAATGTGTTCCCATATAGGGTGAGCTAACGCTCAGTAGAATATTTCCTACAAGAACTACTCCCCAACCTAAGTGTATATGTAATGTGTTATGCAACAAAATACAACCAAAATCCATTTCAATCAACACTTAAGTAAGTCAAGATTGAAATCTAACATACCATGCCATGAAATAAGATAATGTTCATTCATGCAATTTACCCGAGCCCTTCCCGGCTCTACAACCCATGTCATGCCAATGTGTATTAACACCGAGCTTTTCTAGCTCGGGCTATCTACCTTCACCCCATGTTATGCAGTGAGTATCAAAATCGGGCTCTCCAAGCCCCCGCCATTTGTGTCACACACCCAATGGCTAACTAAAATCTCGGGTTTTTTTTGAGGTAGATATTTATGAACTTACACCAACGGTCACCTAACCGATGCGGAATTCATGGACTTTCATCAACAGTTTCGCGCACATCGACACACTTTTATGGACTCTGTATACCAACGGAAGTGCGTGTCCAAATACCGGATCTCTCACTCGAGGGATAGTTTAACCCTTCTTGCTACCCTGACCCAAGTCTTTGTCATGCAACCGTGCGACTCAGTCGAACATTCAATCCAACTTTTTCGAGCTCACTCATCATCCACCTACGTGGTGTTTGATGTCAACTATGCACCCACACTCATAAAATGCGATATTTACGTGTATATATAATGTAATGCATCATTGCTATTCTAACATCATGGCCATATATAATGAATGTCACATGAGCAATTTTTAAACCACATGTCTACATGTTCCATGAAGATTCATATCATATGTATATAAATTCCATAAATCATCACAATGTCAATATCTCAATGAGCACATATTAACATTTATTTCCAACACATTTTCTAAGCATGTTATACATTATCATGTCATAACAACTTAATCCACACATAGACATTTTAGCAAACACCTTCAAGGCAACAATTCATATTATCACATAAGAATTTTCACCTCATTCACAAGCATAATATATGACAAATAACATGCTCATAAAATCACCTTTCCCATGAAATTTTCAACCAAGTAATTTTCGCATCATAATTTCAAGTTAGAAAAGTCTATTCCAACCCGTTTACATACTCTTTTTTTATACCTATTTCACCCATGTCATGTGCATAAATGAGTAAACTACATATTCCCTTTAACCCACATATTTTATATAACACTATAAGTGAGAAATAAATCAAAGTAGGAGAACCCCTACATTTTAAAGCATAAAACAACGTTGGAAAGCCCAAAGAACCCAAAACGACCTTGAATTCTCACTTCTCAAAAATCTCATTTTTTAACCTTCGGTGAAACTCGTCGTTTTTTGTGTGGCCACGTAACCCTTGGCGAGGAGAGTAACGTTTCCTCTTGACCTAAGTGGATTTGAGCACCATAGTCTTGTAGATCGTAGAGAGAAGGTAGGGTTTTCCTCACTTTCCTTCTCTTTCTCTCAACGTTAATGGCAGGCTGAAAAAATGGGAAAAAATTTGATCTTTTCCCCTATTTATAATCTTAGAATACTTGACTCATAACGCGTCACACGACCCTTTTATTTTTGGATTTGTTTTCATCCCAAAATAATTTAATTTCGACCCAGTTCAAGTTCAAAATATTTTTATTTTAACTTGACTTAAATTATTTTTCAACTTTTGAAATTTTATCCAAAATTTCATTTTTGGGTCATCCGAGACTCGACCGTCTCATAAAACGTAAAAAATTCAACTATCTCAGAATTCAATAAAAATTGACGTGGTAACTAGATTTTGAGAGAAGAATCCAACGGTGAGATCTGTTTCGTCATCCAAAATCTAGAAAAATTCAGATTTTCAACTCATACTGTATCAACAAAATTACCGTTTTGTCATTATTTACAAAAGTTTAAATTTGCTGGATTTTACAATAACGACTGTCAAATTTTTTAAGGTAAATGCCATGTGACCTATTGTAAATGTATAGGTCAAAAATTAAAAAAAATATCTATCAATGACTTTGTCTTTAATAAGTTTTATATTTTTTTCTTCTAATAGACCTTCTTTTTTTTCTTAACAACTATTTGGTTACAAAATGAGGTAAAATAAAGTGATATTAGCACTGAGCGGGACACTCTTTGGGGTTTTCCTCCCTCATTTAACAGATTTTCAAGTTTGTCGTTATCTATTGAAGTGATATGAAATAAATTTGATATTTTAAGGTATAATGTGAGAAATTTTGTAATTAATAGTACAAAGTGAAATAAAGATAATAGTTTAGAGGGATAAAGTATAATTTAATCTTTTAAAATTGTCCAAAGGTAAAAAAATCAATCCATAATTTTTCCTTTCCCGCCCAAAAACGTCACCATCCCGCCCCTCTCTCTTCCCTCACCCTACTCTGACGCGTTTTCCTCTTCTCATTCCCCAGTGGCCGTCGGTGACTCTCTCTCAGGTATCTCTCTCTCTCTCTCTCTCTCTACTGTTCTCACTTCTCACCGCCTGCACACACACACGTACACACACCCATACATCTGTGCAACCCCCACGTTCCCCAAACTCCTATATGCCTTCCGCCCATCTCTTGCTCTCTCCCGTAGCGACACTGTCGTTCCTGACGACACACTCCCTCCCCCCTCTCTCTCTCTCTTTCTCCCCTAATTTCTCCTTTTTCACCGACTGTACCCACATCCACACAAACACACAACCTGCAAACCCCCCAACACCCCCTCCCCCCCAAAAAAAAAAAAAAAAACCCTTTCTTAGAAGACACACGTACTGGCGCACACCTGCTCCCGCCTAGAGACGCCAATTGCCTCTCCTTTTACTCCCCCTTCCTTGGGTCATTACATTGTAGTATTAGTGCAAAACTACTGTTAAAAGGATTGACCTAGGTCCACACTGTATAGAATAACTGATTTACCTACACCATTCTTTCCTCTCATATGTTCGACAGTTTTTCTCAAAGAGCCATGGACATCACGCATTCGTCTTGCTTCCGCTCCATTCACTTCTTTGTCGCTCACTCATGATTGCAATTTTAATTTTCGGTGAAAGCTGAGATTGATGAATTCTGGCACCAAAGGCTTGAGTGCTTGCTGATGTGTTCTCAAAGCATCCTTTGGTATGCATCGAAAATAGGAAATTATATGTTGGACCCATTGCAACATACTTTTTCATATTAGCTGCAAATTGACTATGTTGGCTGCTCTGTTATTGGTATTGTAACAGGTGTTTTTTGATTACTATAGCTTATCCACTTGTTGATGCGTGGGACTCTTTGTTGCTTTGATGCTCAATTTGGTCTCAAGGTGCTACCTTTAGGTAAGCTAAAATTTCCACTCTTTGTAAGTTGTCCATTAGTTTGGGACCATTTTATGTTAGCTCTTGGTGTTTTTGTAGTTCATGTTCCAAGTTCATTAAGAGATTTATATGAATGCTTTCATCCTCTTTATTTTGTTAATTGCATTGAAATCCATAGAGAAAGGAGAATATCTCCACCTGCAATAGAATCAGTGGGTCTGGGAGATTGGGATACCACAAAATGTACAATTAGGAACTTGGCTTTGAAAGCTGAGTTTGATTTGGGATTGGTATAACATGCCTTTTCCATGTTTTTGGCAATATATGTGGAAGTTTTGTTTTTTTTAGAGGTATAAGGAACATGATATTCAAACTTCAATAGTGTGTCTCACCTATGTCTTCTAGCACAGAGGCAAAGACAATAACCAGTAACAACACAATGCGATAGTTGATCTCCTCTTTTCCAGCTAACAATCAGTAGGCGTTTTTCCTCCCTGTTTCTATTTAGATCGGGATGTTACTGAATTTTAATTTTTTTAAGTGTCGTTTTATGCTCATAATTACATCATCTGTTGGTATGCCCACCATCCATTTGTTGTCTTACTCATTAGGACTACTTCTGTTGGTTATTGTGCAGCTTCCTTAAAGCAATTATAAACATGCTTTGGCAATCAATTTTTAACTTTTAAACTTGGTCTCTTTCTTGCACTTCTTATTATTTGTCTAACTCAAGTTCATTTTAGAAGTTTCTCGTTAGTTAGTTAATGGTCACCAATTTTTTAATGCTTCTGTCTTTTTTTAATGCTCATCTTTTCTGCATGATGTATTAAGTCACTTGTCCATCCTATTGTTATGATTAATTTACTTCGTCTAATGCCAATAGTTTTAATCTCAGAATGTTGTTGTTGCCACAATTCTTATGGAGCAAGATGAATGTGCAGAGTGCTTAAAGTAATCAGACATAGCTTTTTCTTCCGTTTCATGTTTTTGGTTTGTCTTAGGAATATATTAATCTTAAGGTTACCCCATATGACCAAATTCAGTGGTGTGATTGTCATAGCAATTGTTTGGCCTGCATGTTTGGATAAAATACCTATTTTTGTTGATAGTGTTATTATGTGTGTTCAATTGAATTAGTAAGGAACTATGGTGGTTCATTTGAAATGGATTAACAGTTTTGTATAGTTGAGAGTTTTGGTTTCTTAATGTTTATGTTAACGTATTCATTTGCAGGTGTAGGTGTTCAAATTGGCAGCCTTTTAGGGTGGTTGTGAAATAAAATTTGAAGCTTTTGTTGGGTTCCATTTTTAGATGAAATTTTGTCCAAATTTTTTAAAACTCAATACTCTTAGATTTTAGATTTAGAAAAGACTAAGAATCATATAATGAACCATTGAAATTTTGAAGTTGTTTGAGCCTTGAATGGTGTTCAATTTTTGTCCAATGAATTGTCATTTTTTTTGCAGGTGTCCTGCATGAAGGTGAAGCTTGCCAACTTTTTTTTTTTTTTGCCGATGATACATGAATGAATGTTTATTCTCACAATGGGCAAAGGTAACTCCCATTCCCAAACAATGGGCATCTTCGATCTGTCAAGCCATAAACTCCATTTCCGGGTTGAAGAAATGCGTCGTCACGGCATCCATGGACCCTCTTCCTCCACCGCTATTTCTTCACCTACTACGTCCATATTCCCTCAATGCCATCGGGTTGGGCAACGGACCTGAACCTGATCCATCCACTCTAATCAATGACTTCACCAGATTCTGCTATCAAAGAGACCTCCTCAGAGCCATGACAGCTTTGCATTCTATGCAAAACCACAAAATATGGGCCGACTCCATCACCTATTCCGAGCTCATCAAGTGCTGCTTGGCTTGCTGCGCCATTGAACAAGGTAAACTCGTCCACAAACACATTTTCTCTGACGGGTACCAGCCCAAGACGTTCCTGCTCAACGTTCTTCTTAACATGTACGTTAAATTTAATCTGTTAAACGTAGCCCAAATGTTGTTTGTTCAAATGCCCCAAAGAAATTTTGTATCCTGCTTTCTCTGATGCTGACCTCAATGACAAGGCCTTGGAGTTTTTAATTCTAATGCTCAGGGAAGGCGCCAGGCCCAACATGATCACTTAGTCTTCTGTTTTGAGACCCTGCGCTGGTTTACCCAACCTCAGACAGCCCCATAGTGGCATTATCAAGACTGGATTGGACTCTGATGTCTTTGTCAGGAGTGCTCTCATTGATAATTACTTGAAATGGGATGACTGAAAAAATGCTCTCTACGTCTTCAATGAGATGGTGACTGCAGATTTGGTTGTTTGGAATTCCATTATTGGTGGATTTGCTCAAAACAGTGATGGGGATGAAGCTCTGAACCTTTTCAGAAGAATGAAGAGAGCTGGGTATCTTGCCGACCAGTCAACACTAACGAGTGCATTGAGAGCTTGCACTGGTTTAGCTCTGTTAGAATTGGGGAGACAATTGCATGTTCATGTACTCAAGTCCCATCAAAACCTAATCCTTAACAATGCACTCCTTGACATGTTTTGCAAGTGGGCAGTTTGTAAGATGCCAACTCTGCTTTTACTCGGATGATGATGTCAACTATCATAGGTATGGCCCAAAATGGTTTCAGCCAGCAATGAAAGTCTCAGGCACCGGACCAAACTACATTACGGTTCTTGGGATTCTGTTTGCTTGCAGCCATGCAGGACTAGTAGACGATGGGCAATATTACTTTCTATCAATGAGGCACATTTTTGGTATTGATCCAGGAAGAGAGCACTATGGTTGCATGGTTGATCTTCTTGGAAGAGCAGGGAAGCTTGATGAGGCAGTACAGCTAATTCATGAAATGGAATATGAACCAGATGCTGTGACCTGGAGAACTTTGCTTGGCGCCTGTAGGATCCTCCGGAACATGGATCTTGCTGTATATGCTGGCAAACAAATTCTAAAGCTGGATCCCAATGATGCAGGAACCTATATACTTTTATCTAATATTTATGCAAATTCTCAGCGATGGGAAGATGTTGCAGAAGTGAGGAGGACCATGAGGGGCAGAAGAGTAAAGAAGGAACCTGGGTGTAGCTGGATTGATGTAAACAAGCAGATACATGCATTCATCTTGGAGGACTATTCGCATCCACAAATTGATGAGATCAGCAGGGAGCTGAACCAGTTGATTTGGAGGTTAAAGGAAATGGGTTAGTTCCAGATACAAATTTTGTATTGCAAGACCTGGAAGGGGAACAGAAGGAAGACTCACTCATGTACCACAGTGAGAAACTGGCAATTGTGTTTGGTATGATAAACTTGTTGCTGGAGAAGACTATAAGAATCAGGCAAAACCTCAGGATTTGTGGAGATTGTCATGTCTTTGCAAAATTACTTGCTAAGATGGAGTGTCGGAGCATTGTCATCAGGGATCCAATACGTTACACCATCATTTTTGTGATGGAGTTTGTTCCTGTGGGGATTATTGGTAACATAGGAAGTTGTTATGAGTCTTCATTGTTGGCCGCTTCTATAATGCATAGAGGACCTATTCTTGGCACAGTTTTAAGTCCATTCGCGAGCAAATGTCCATAATCATCCAAATCATACATGAAGTATAGTGTAGCAGTACCAAAAGATTTTTTTAATTTGTAGACTAACATTGATCAAATAGAATCAGATATGTTCACATTTGTAATATTCTGGCTTGGTTGCAAGCCCTTGGAGATCCAACGTTTCAGTAATGTTAGCATGATTCTTCAAATCAAATTGGGTTTTTATTCTTGTTAATTCCATGTGCATTTAATGTTAGAATTGCACAACCAATTTCCCCTTGTTTTCCTGTGTTTTAATTGCTAATATACAAAACATGCAGTGCAGTTATAAAAAAAAAAAATGCTGTGCAACTTGAAATGCAAAAGTGATATCAATCGGAAGCTGAAAGAAATATTGCAACACTACGAAATTCATAGCACAGTATCAGCTGGCATTTATGATGAATCAGCCTGTTATAACTATTCTCAACTCCCGTTATGGATACTACGGGGCACAAAATGTTGTTATAGAACAAAGCCTCTTGCAGACCGTGAGAATGACCAAACACCACCATCTCACAACTTTTCTCTCGAAGCATCACCTCTTAGGCTCCACCAAAGATGCATAAGCTTTGATTATTGATTCATGTATCAACTCCTTTCAGATGCCCATCTTTGCTCAAAAAAAAAAAGGGGGAACCGAATGGAGAATATTGCAATTGGAATGCATGCTTAGTGTTGCAACAATTCAAGAAACCAGAAAAATGTAGATTTCATAAACTACTTGTTTTGTCGTTCCTATTTAATGCATGATTGCTTAATTCATAAAAAAATGATTGTACAAACCCCATAACAATAAAATTAGTTATGAGTAAGTAAATAAACGGCCAATTGAACAATTAGAGGAAGAAATTAGCAAGGAAAGATGTGGTTGGTTCCCTAAGCCAGCAGTGGAGGCTGAGCTGAGCTGTGTTGTGGTATGTTCCTCCTTATTAGGGTAAGATGATAATTAACTTGCTTTATGGTTTAAGTGTAAAAGGAAGTGCCTTAGTGGTAGAGAACAAATGATTTTAAAAGAGTGGGTAAGGAGGGTTAGTTTGGTCACCATCTAAAGTCCATGTCACACTCTTATGCCAAATAAAACTCGAACAGAAGTCCAAAAGAAAGGAAGATGATGACAAATAAAACTCAAATTACAAATTGATAGGAATATGGATATTGCTATTAATCCCTCCCTCCTTTTTAGGTTAAGTTAGTGTTAAGTATTCTGAGTAAATTGGCGCAACATCGGTGTCAAACCAACAAGCATGCCTTTTCAAACTCCACCCTGCACCCTCCAAAATCAAAAATCCCCCTCCTCCTTGTATCCAAACCAAAGCTCTACTCTTTTTCTTTTTTCCCAATTCTGTCTTCCATTCATTCCATGTAATTAAATTCCGGTAACAATCGTTTGTTTTCTTGCACCTCTCTCTCTCTCTCTCTCTCTCGCTTATATAGATAGACCCCCCCCCCCCCCCCCCTGAAACATACACAGTAAGTAACAATCAGAAAAAACCAAAACGGAAGAGGAAAAGAGGGAATGAGAGAGAATCAGAAAGAAGCTGATTGCATGCGAGAGCGCATGCGAAAGCTTGCTCTCTGGTGCACTAGAACCTTCACGCCCATCATCAATCACGACGAGCTCGAGCCAATCATGGCCACCCTCGGTTTCGTCGCTGTTCCCAATGATGACACCGCCTCCACCGCTGTCGCTTGGAAGGAATATTACTCTTCGGCGAGCGGCTGGTTCGCTACTCATTTGGTTGCCGCGGAGCCACTGCCCAGGCCTCGACTTCCCTACCCGAAGATCGACGGACTCCACATCTCCACATACACCGCCTTTCTAGATGCCCTCAACTTCTATCTCCAGATGTCCGACATCTCTGATCTCTTCCATGTTCGGTGCGCCTTCTCTCTTCCCCTTCCCCTTCCTTTTCCGTTAATTAATTGATTACTTACTTACTGTTTGTTTTGTTATTCGTTAATTTGTTATCTTTCTATCTTATGAACTAATGTTCGCGTGGTTCACAATTTCTTCTGCATTGATTTGGGTTGGTTATATGGTTATATATATATGTATGTATGTATCTAGTTAATTATTATATAAATGAATTTTCTATTACAAGTATATCTATTCATGTTTGAGTGTGTCTGTCTCTATCCAGATATATACATGGATCTAAGGACAATGAACAGATTTTCTCTTATTTGGAGATGCTGTCTTGAATTAAAGTTCGGGAGATTCATCTCATTCCATCCACTTTTTGATTTATATAAATTCCCGGAACAGGCAATGAAGTCCAAGTTTTTTATCTCAAAAGTTTTTTTCAGCGTTACTTGGACCCTAAGAAAACTCAACTCCTTCACTCTTCTAAGTTCTGAGCTTAGCTCAACTATTTGATTTGGCTGAGTTTAGTTTCTTTTTTCTTTTTTGCCCCCAAAACCAGATCTTCAGTGAAAAAAAGATCACCATTTTTCACTCTGTTTTTGTCACAACCACCTGTGTAGTTTATTTTTTCTCAACCCCTGCTTTCCGCAGTTTCATGGCAGTTAAACGGTTTTTCCCCCTTCCTTGCGTCGTATGTTTTTTAAATGTTTTTGGCTGATCTTCTTAATTGTTTCCATGTATGCAAAGCAAAAAGTCCATTTCCTTCCGTTTTGTTTATTAAATGGGGAGAACGTAAAACAAATGCTAGGGTGCGTGCTCTAATGACTCAAGCTTGCGTTGAAAAAGTTATTCAACTTTGTGACACGAGACCTTGATACCAGAAATTTTAACATGCTTCAGTTAGCCAAGCACACAAACATAAGCAATTCCAAATGATGGCCACCGGACAATTGGAGGGTAGAGCACTTTTAGTTTTGTGTCTCAAGACTCTCAACTTGATTGAGTACTACCATAGTATATGAATGCAATAAATGCATGATAAGCCAGATCAATACAAATGGAGGCTTCATGCAAAGAGTATACAAGTATAGGTATTCTTCTCCTTCATTTTCCTCAAGGGTTTTGATTGTTCAATCATATAAAGTTACCATGAAGGAACTAAATTCGTTTTAGATAATAAAGAAGGCAAAAAGTTCTAGAGGAACAGATAAGTGAATTTGATTTTTCAAATCTTATCACAATGGAAAACAGTGGAATATTAATGTTAATAACAAATATAAGATGACAATATAAGCAGACTGAAAAGGTATATGTTGCAATTATAATAAGCATTATCATGAGTTTTAAATAGTTGTGTTTGTCAAATTTCACTTGTAGGCGTTATGGTTTCTTTCAGACGCATTGGACATATTTTCTTTTACACCCAAATACATGCAACCATAAACAGTGAGATGCTCTTGATTTATTTTTCTAATAATTGTCAATGGAAAAAATAGGACTATTTTAACACTTCCATGAGAAATGCTAATCCTTGTTGAAAGTATTCATGGGTGTGAATTCCATATTTCAGGACAAGCAACCAAAACAAGCATGTGTGTTTGATTTGTATCTTCAAAAATATCCTTAGTAAAAATGCTTTACTGAAGACCTGTGCATCATAATTATTTCTCCTACTATTTGCTTTATTACATTTGGTAATATGTAAAGTTTATTAGGGGAACAGAGTTTGAAAATGAATCACATGTACAGATAGTTTTTAGCAGGAGAAATGATTTCATAATGGCTCATGAATTGCTGTACAATTTTCAATTCTCACGTGTTTGTATAAGGACCATAGTATTTTTTTGAACATTTCTACACATCGATTGTGGGTACTATACGGCATGACTGAAGCACTGAAAACATATAATTGAATCCCATTTATGGTCAATCTGCACTTTTGTGGCTAAATTAACAATGATTCACCAAATACTGCATAGATGTAGCAGAAAGTTAAATAAAGAGAAACTGGAAGCATGTTTATGCAAATGAAGGAAAATGTTTATCTCATGAAAACAAAATCAGTTAATTATGTCGATGTACTATATGAGATGCCCATTTATTTTTCGTAACATTTGCATAGAGACCGCCTTTCTTTGCACATGCTTGTACTGAAGGCATTTAAGTTTTGAGGCAAGGCCTTTCATTCCATCTTTTTTTTTTTTTTTATCTTCTTTTGTTATTTGAGACCTCCATCTATCTGCTCCATGCTGGAGGATGAGTTTCTGCCTCCAAATGCCATGACAAACACAATTAACTGATTCAATGTCAATGGGATTTTTGAGGCAAGCTTGCCAATTGTTAGGAGACTGTAGATGTATTCCAGGCACTGCAGTTAAGGCATGACAAAACTTGAGTGTTTTGAGATTTGGATTTGTATTAATAAACCTGTTAGCTAACTCAAAAGAAAAAAGGAGGGGAAATACAATGTGGGTTAAGAAAGCCTTAAATGCTAATTTATGACTCACTCGATAACGAAACTAGGGGAAGTTTTTGGGTTTGCCTCAGGCTCATTCTATATGGTGGGGCTTGAGCCAGCTTATGTGGTTATAGATTTGTGGTAGCTTATGGTACTCATTTTGTCTTTGGCTCTACTTTACTGCAAACTTCTATTTCTGCTTGATTCTGACTTATTAGATGACAAATAACTGCTATTAGATTTTATTTTTTTTCCTTTTTTTTTTCTTGATACCTAACTAGACTTGAAGATTTTGGGCTTTACTGAAACCATTTTTAATTGCCTTTGAACGAAGTATGACATGTTGAACTTGATCAAACTTGTGAGGTTGAATCTGTCTTTGGATCCACTTACGTTTCAGGGGAGTGGAACTCCATAAAACTAATGACCGAAGCAAGAAGTGGTGTCGTATGGAAGAAGATGATAATATCTTTGTTTACAGAGACGGAACGCTGGACCAAGCAGGAGACACTTCCTATCAAGTCAACAAGAATGACGTCAACGGTAGCAGCAACAAAGGGCGCAAAACCATCATCCGGGAGAAGGGCAAAATTTCCCCGACTGGCTGCATAGTCTCATTGAAAGATATCAGCGAGACCATAATAGTTGGATCAAATGATGGTCGTCCTACAAAAATTACTCAATAAATGAACAGTTGTTGGGTTTGGTTGTAGTATTCTGCAGTTGTTACAATATGAGAATTGAACCAGTTTGTTGGTTGCCCAAAACGTCAAAGCTTGAAACCTGGTTGGTTACAACCGCACAAGCAGGCAGGCAGGTTGGATTGCCTCTGCATCTGTATCGATGAGTAGCTTAAACCCATATTATAATTTGCCTGTTGTGGTTAATACGGCAATACTCATCGGCCACCCTGGTAATCAAGCCAAGCCTAACGTCAACATCTTGTCACCACTACTGATTTCAGCCGAGAGAAACCCAAGTGTCATTTGGCCCATAGATTTAGTCCTTAGTGTCTTGAGTACAACTTGGCCCAGATGTCCAAAGGTTATCCAAATGTAGGGGCGACAATTGAGCCCAGACATGTTACGTGCGTGATATTTGTGATTTGACAGTGCATGAATACAACACAATTATAATTATTAACCTGTTTTATGAATTAAATTAATTCACTCAGACTCTAATTTGACTTGTTTATTAATTATATCCATATTGACCAACATAACCCTTAGGGCTTCTTTTAATTCAACAATGATCTATTAAATACCAAATCAAACAATAAAAAATATGGCAAAAATGGGCGTATTCATCAATAAATTACATCCTAATTTCTTCATTTCGTTGTGCTATTTATGCCCTTTAACAGCACTTACTCAGTTTGAAATTATTCGGGTTCACAACAAGCACACATGACGAGTGTGTCCAAAGTCTAGATGAATTTTTGCATAGGTTTTTGTGGAAATTTGTTATATTGCGGGATTTATTGATAATAAGAGGAATGGAACAATCCTAATACTATACTACTTTAAAATGTGAAAAATATTTTCCTTCCACTTTAACCCTCCAACAACAATACAAATATGATATCCTTATCCTTCCAAAATTAATTGCATACCGATGCTACTATCCCCAATTTTTCTGCAAAATAAATGCCCAATATACCTAATTCATCACCGCTCCGCTACTGCCTCCCAAGTTTCCAGCCGTTACAACCTCTCTCTCTCTCTCTCGATCGACACTCCCTCACTTCACCTTCCCCTCGTAAGAGACTATACACATTCCACCAATTAATTTATTAAATTGAAATTACTGCACCATTTACCTATCGAAATGCCAATACTTTTACTTCTAAAAATTCCTCTCCTTCGCCCTTCTCTGTCAGATGCCCTAGCTTTTGTTTGTGTGTGTTGGCATTGCACAACCATGGGAGTATTGCTTGATGAGGTAATGAATTTTTAGTTGCAGGTAATGTATCTCATTAGTTTTTTTTTGAACATGGTATCTCAGTAGTTCAGAGGATGATTTTTGGTTCTTGTATGTAATGAGTTTTGTGAAACACAGTTAGAACTCTGCATACACTGATTATTGTTTAGTCAACAATAATCATTTTTGTAAAGTAAAGCAGTTTTGATCTGAGTATATGAATCAAAGCATCGAATTGCCTTTTTGTTTTGAACATAAATCTAGATATTAATTTTATAGGCAAAGGATATGTAAAAAGTGGGTTGGGATTGAATGTTTTCTATTAGAAAACAATTAACTGGTAAAATAAAATTAGATTTCAGTGAGGACTGATCTAAAACCTTGTATTTACCACATGATTGACTTAGTTTAAAACCATTGTCCATATCAAACCCAAGAGAAATAGTAAACTCAGAAGCTTTGTAAGTTAAGCTAATTAGTTTAACAGTTCATAAGCCAAATCCTTAAGGAACTTTTGTACAAAATGAACAAATTGGTATGCTTCATTATATCTTCCATAACAGGCTCTTCAAATATATCCTCCATTTTGACGTTCTACGGATTTTTAGTATCTAATCATTAGATTTGCAGATCTAAGAAAACATACTGAGCGACAAATACCATTTGGTTTTTTTCATTCAACACTGCTACTATTTGTTCCAAGGACATTGGTACAAGTTGGTCTCTATCTGTTTGATGTTCATCCTCATTTGTTTGTGTAACATGTTGGTCCTCAGCTGTTTCTGTAACATCCTCCCATACAATCAACTTATCAACAGATGGTCTTGATTTCTTAGTTTCCTGTGTAAATTTTATGCCAATATCATTATATCAAACTATGAACAAGTAAATAGAAACAGGGCATCCGTATAATTGAGTAAGAGTATGCTTGTATCATTGCCTCACTATTGATCAATCTATTCTTGATTTTGACTTTTTGGTAGATTACAGCAAGTTGACGTTGATACATGGGGTAGAATTTATTAATATATTAGGATTGAGAACCTTAAACTATTAGCAATTCAAATCTTTCACACAATGATAGAAACGACTATATTTTGGAGCATGATTAAAGGTGTAAATGTATCAAAAACAAATGATTATGCCATTTGTAAGAATATTTATTTCCCTTCTTTGTTCAATAATTTTTTTCTCTCTTCATACCCAAGTAAATGAATCACCTGCAGCCTTGCTGATACGAGAACATTGTTGGTTTGCAGTTCATCCGAAACCTGGTGTACGACATCTGTGCCACCCTGCATTCCCACCACAAGTAGCGAGTTGTCATTACAGCTTGAAATTTGAACATTCTTTTTCTTCTTTGCGCTGAAAATCTTTCCTGTTATTAGCAAAGCAGTTTGACTTGAATGTGTAAGCTGGCACACATTATTCAAAGATGGAAAGTCTTGACTTGATCTCTTGCTTCTAAACTGTACTCAGATCAATTAATCTCCCTTATTTTTTCAATGATCTTGAAATTACAGACCAAATGAACATCTCTATCTTTGGTGACAAATGATCCCTTGCTCTCTTCCACCTCTGTTTCAGTTAATGCTGCAGAGACAAAAGCTTGTCCAAGAATGGTAGAACATATGGGTCTAGCAGGTTGAGATTGGTGAGGAATCCTCCATTCTTTGATCTCCATCTTAAATGAAAATCCTTACCAATACCATAAATTTGGTGTGAAGGCAGGTATTGGGAATTGATGAACAGAGTTCCCTGAACGAGAGGGAGAGATCTTAGATTGGAAGGGAAGGGGTTATTGAGATGTTTATGATGTTTTTTTTTTTGGTTATTGTTAAGTTTAGAAAATTAGCACAATATTAGAGAAAGACGGAGATTGGTCAAAACTAAACTTGCCTCTCACAAACCACTTGTATTTATTGTAGTATATATGTATTCTCTTTTTTTTTTGGTACAGATGTCAAGATCACTATATCTGCAGCTCACATCCTTGAAAAGGATTTCCCTTTTTTTAATATGAATTGCTTATGAAGATTTTAGACTTCTTTGATCTAATGCATTTTAGTTTGTCAATCTAGGATATGGCATGTCATGGTGAATACATTTTAGCTATTACCAACAACTAGCCTTGTGATAAAAGAATTTGCTCAACATTTCATTACTATTGGATGTTGTTTATATAGAGATAGTTTGAAAATAGTTATAAGCTACTGACTTATCGGGATGTATTACGGTTACAGGAATGTAGTAGTTCTTATATTACAATGTTTTTTCAAATTCATGATCAAATGTTGATTGAAGTTGTGCATAGCAAATTAGATCACATATACTTTTCCTATGATTATTATTAGTCTACAACTGCATGGCAATGGAGGATAGAACATAAAATTGTTGACATTTGATTTTATACCTGTCTGGTTATGCTTTCACCATTTATATAGATGATTTAATTTTTAGCTGAATCTTGATTTTTCCTAAAAAGAATATTTCGTAGATGCATGCACTTCATAAGTAGCTATCCACACATCCTTGAATGCTTATGTTGCACCATAAAATTACGTTTTCGTGTGCAAGTTATGTTATATTTGTTAGCTATTATTTTTTCTTTTTCTAATCGCAACCAAGTCTCCCATAGTAATTTTTGCTTACGCTCTTGAGGGTCAGGAACGCGGTGGCAAATATTATAAAATACCTAAACATAGTCAACAAGAGTATATAAGGCATATTTTAATCAATGAAGGGTTTTAGACTTTTATTAGTGGGCATGGTTATGGTGGTGGAAGGGGTTTTGATGGAGGTGACCATGGACGGAGAGGAGGCAAACATGGTGGATCAAGAGGGTAAATGGACCATATTGTTCTACCCAAGTGAGATTTTGGAAATTGGCATAGCAAGACACTAGCTATAAGGTTAGAGAAATTGCTACCTCAAATTAGTTTTGTTGAGCTAACACCAATTAAAACTCAAGGCTGGCTGATGGCTTTACAGGGTGTGGAAGTGGTGGCATCGCGGAGGCCGGATCTAGAAAGACTCAAAGGTCATTTGCTTTAGTTCATCTCATTTCCTCTAATTCATTTAATGAAAATTAATGTTTTGTTTAAATTCAATAGTCATTTTTCTATTCTTTTACGTTAGTTTTGAAAAGGCTCTACTTTGAATATCTTCTACCTCATCTTTTTATTTTCACTTTCTAAAGCTTGTGATAGAGCTAATGCTTTATATGAAAGATAATTTAAAATGATTTTTTTTTCTAATGAATTCATAAAGATTATTAACGTAAGGTATGTATGGATATTGATAATACTCTCTATATATAAGAGAGTGATTGAATAGGTTTGCCAGATAATATGTAAATATTAAAGCATATAAGGTCGTTTTTATTTAAAGATAAGTGGTATAATTACGTTTGTCCTTTGACCATATGGAATTCATATAACATACAAAATAAAAGCAATTAAAACTCAAATCACAATTCGATATCCAATTTTACCTTTGATTGATATAAGATATGCTCTTATATCTTGTAATGTTGTTGTTCAAAATTTACTAAATGCATAGCTTTGATTAAAAAAAGTCACAGTATTTTGTTTTAACATGTATATAATTTAGAATTGTACTATTTTTTACAATCATACACTTGTAACAATAAAAAAAAATTCATTCTGGTGTATTTGAAAAATAATAAAAATCAACCATTAAAATACAAATGTGAATCATGCGATTGTAGTGAATTTTGTTATTGGTTTTGAAAAATAGTTGAAGA